AAATAGAATACAAAACAAAACTTCAATCTGCCTCACACTTTTAAAATTTTACAGGTCTTTTAAAATTAAGGTTTGATTTTTTTTTATCTTGGTAATTTGTGGGTGTTCTGAATTGTGGTTTATGGACTCAAAATCTAGAATTGAAGAAATTTTCTGCAGTCAGGAATCAAAAGCAAACATATATATGTGTTTGCTAACTTCTCTTCCTTTGTGAATATATTTTATGCAGTCTTAGGCTTATCTTTAGATAATTAACTTGCAGTAGACAGGCTCTTAAGGGGACCCTCAGTATTCTAGCCTCCAACTGACAGCCAGCCTACAGCGAAAGTCCACAGTCCTACAGTAGCAAGAAATGGAATTCTGCCAACAACCTAAGACTGAAAACCTATTCTTCCCCACTAGAACCTCAGAAGAAACCAGTCTCTACCAGTCTTCATTGCAATCTTGTGGACTGCTAATCAGAGGACTTCCCCCCCCCCCCCACACACACACATACTATGTCCAGATTCCTGGATTGTGAGAGAAGTTTTTTGTGTGTTACTACTGGCATTGTGGTCATATTATTGGACTAGCTCAGTGTTCTTGGGTTGTTAAAGCAAAATGCTATACATTGAGTGGACTCAACAACAATATTCACATTTCTGGAGGCCAGGAAGACCAAGGTCAAGGTGTTCCTGCTCTTCTTGGCTTGCACATAATTGCTTTCTTCTTCTTTTTCCTATCAGCAGAGTTGTAGAAAGGATGGGGAGAATTCTGGTCTCTTTCTCTTCTTACAAAGGTGTTCACCTGCTCCTGGGCATCCATCTTCATGACCTCCCACAAGACTCACCTCCAAATACCATCAATTTGGGACCTGAGCTCCAATATAGGAATTTGGGGAGAACACAAACTAAGTCCACCGTAACAACAGTAAATGACTAATATGCAGTCTTTATAAAATTAGCTTCTGTGTCATTTAGTCAACCTGTATAAAAGGAGCTTTGGTACCCAAGAAGGGGCCTAGTTAAAAACTTTAATTGAGATGAAAGTTATTTGGCGCTGTTGGGAGAGAGTTCTCCCCGGACTTTTGGGGTCCTGAGTGCCTTGTGAGGCAGGGAGCGCCACCTGTCCCTGTTTCAATGTGTGTGGAAGAAATGAGCCCAAGATCTCCTTTTGCTTAAAGGGAGATACTATCTCTTACCTTCTGCCCATTTTTAAACATTTGTGTTTCCTAAGTTCCATTTTCCTCTTGTAATGCAGCTCAGGCATTGTCTGGCCTTTTCTATACCACCCTGTGGGAACTGGTGCTCTAGGAACTGGCACAAAACAGCTGCTGATCCTGCTGCTACTATTGTTAGTAATAAACTGTCTTTTATCTGTGACTCTAATTTGGTGGCTGCCAGCAGTCATTAAACTGGCAAACAAGTAAAATCTTAGCACATATTTACCCAGGAGGAATTTTAAAGATCCCCCCAGAAAGGTAGACATGTAAAGACCATGCAAAAATTACTTCAATTAGTTTTATAAGTAGGTTATACAAAGTTAACCCATGAACTAGGCAAATGAGAATTTAAACCTTGTAATTCTTCTCTCTCAACAAATGGTGTCACTCCTCTATCAATTTCAACAACCCATCCTTACTTGTAATGCTCATTCAAATCAGAATTGAGAAATGAGAACTTTTTTTTTCTTTTTTGTTGGTCATGGGCCTGAACTCTGGGCATGGGTGCTGTCCCTGAGCTCTTCAGCTCAAGGCTAGCCCTCTACCACTTGAGCTACAGTGCCACTTCCAGCTTTTTCTGCTTAGGTGGTGCTGAGGAATCGAACTCAGGGCCTCATGCATGCAAGGCAAGCACTCTACCACTAAGCCACCTTTCCAGCCCGGAGAACTTGTTTTTTTAACAACATTAACCAAACTACCTTCATAAATTACACTCATAAAATAAATGGTTGAGTCATTTACTATTTAATCTCCATATGCTGCCTACTTCCAATTTGATCAATAATTATAGCTCTTTAAAAATTGTATTTTTTAATTCTTGGAGGCAATAGGTTATTGAGATTTTTTTCCCTTGGAGTGGAATAGGAAACAACAAATTCCATGTTTTATATTCTCATTTTCCCTTTAATACCAAAACAGACCTTCCAACAAGTCTACAGGAAATCAAGCTGAGCAAGATAAGTAAAGCATGATGGTAATGTGAAAATCAAAGTTGACTGTGAGGCTTACTTAGTCAAGAATTAAAAGGTAGAAGGAAAAGTAAACTGAGGGTTGGGTATAGCCATTCTAAAACAAGAAGATAATTAAGTGGCTTAATATACGTAATTAAATTTGGTCAATGATTAATGTCAATCTCAACTCTAGTAACTCCTTAAATTCTCTTGGATATTCTTCCTTTTCTTCCTTGTTCATTTACTATAAATAAGAATTCAACAATACAAGTAAATACAGATTAGTAATTAATTTTAAAATAAGAAATAGTCAAATGAAGTAGGATAGTAAATAGAACTTAGGGAGATGTGCAAGCTCTCAAGTTATAGGACCTTAAACAAGTCATGTACATCTCTGAACCTCATTCCACTCATCTATAAAAGTAAATAATTTCAACTGCTGTGAAGATAAAATGATGACTGATGAAACCAACAGCCCTTGTACAGGGAAACTATTATGAATAAAGATTATGTGGTTTCAACCGAATACACATTCTAAGTGAATACTTTTTAATTTTAAAAATGTTTTAAAATTGTAAATATTTCAAATATTTTCTCACAACTAGCATCTATTTGTTTAACTTTTTCTATGGTGTCCTATATAAAATTCCAAACTTTTACTTTGGTGCAATTAACTTCACCAAAATTTACATTTTAAGTTTATACCTTGTGTTTTTGAAATGTAAGTAATTCCTACCCCTCAGTATAAAGATATACTAACTCTGCTTTCTGCTATTAAGCTTACTCTTGTTTTGTTTTGTTTTTTTGGGTCCCTTCGTGGGGCCTGAACTCTGGGCCTGGGCGCTGTCCCTCAGCTCTTCAGCTCAAGGCTAGCGCTCTACCACTTGAGACACAGTGCCACTTCCGGCTTTTTTTCTTTTTGCTTATGTGGTGCTGAGGAATCGAACCCAGGGCCTCATGCATGCAAGGCAAGCGCTCTACCACTGAGCCACCTTCCCAACCCTAGGCTTACTCTTATCTTTTATACATTAGGTTTTTACTATATCTGCAGTAGCAGTGTCAATTTTTCTCCAGATGTTAAGTTTACTTTCTTTTTCTTATGATTTATTGAATCATATGTATAGTATAGTTTATAAGTGATGTTGATGGTACTAGGCCAAGAAGCACTATTTGTGAAGCAAGATTTTAAACAATGTGATTGTACATCTAGTTCAAAGAATGGATGACAGTGAAGTTAGGAGAGCATTGACAATGTATATCCTATAAAATTAAGAGTGAGGGAAAGAATACACAGAGGAAGGATGGGTAAGAATGTTGAAAGGAATGATATTAATTAAGATATACTCATAAACCGCTTTGTTAAATGCCAATTCCTTTGTATAACTGCCTAAAGATAATAAAAAATAAATTTAATTTAAATTTTAAAAAGGAGAATATTGCCAGTCACCAGTGGCTCATGCCTGTAATCCTAGCTACTCAGGAGGCTGAGATCTGAGGATCGCGGTTCAAAGCCAGCTCCAGCAGAAAAGTCCGTGAGTCCAATTAACCAACAAAAACCGGAAGAAGCACTGTGGCTCAAGTGGTAGAGTGCTGACCTTGCGTTGAAAAACTCAGGGACAGCACCCAGGCCCAGAGTTCAAGACCCATGACTGACAAAAACAAAAACGAGAACATTTGGGTAATGTCATATTAGTCAACATATAAATCCAAAATTAAACAAAAATCATGCTGATTAAGTTTTCTAATGACAAAATGAGGATGAGTTAATAAATTGGAAAATATACATGTAGAAAATTACTCTCTGCAACACCTTTCACAGATACCCACAGATTCCATGAGCTGAATCTCTGAAATATAGAAACACACTGGTTAGGGGATACATTACTTCTGAGCACCCCAAATATCTATACCTTGCAGTCCTGCTTTTAAATATGAAAGGCACGCATGGTGACATACGCCTGTAATCCCAGCTACTTGGGGTTACTTGCGATACGATGAACATAATTTATTTTTTCCTGCAGAGAATTGGCTGGCAAAGGGAATGCACGCCACTTTTATCCCACTTTCCCATTGTGGGAATTCAATTGTCACAATCAGTTCTCTGCAGGAAAAACAAAACAAAACTGAATTATGCTTAGTCTATTGCAAATAACTGGTGCAACACTACTCGGGCACTACTTTACTTATCTATCAAACCAAATTCAAGAAATGCCAAGGCGAGGGAAGTTCTCCATTTTACTAATTGGAACATGAGTGAATTAGTATATTTGAATAACCCATACTAAAAGCAGGTGGAAGTCATAACACATGACTGAGGATTTAATACATCCAACAGATTAAAAGACTTTTTCCCTGCCAATACTTGTGGATTGTTCAAATGTCCTTTCTACTCATTTTTAAGTAGAAGCAAGAAGCAAGAAGGTCAGTAAGAAGCAAGGAGGGTCAGCTTTCTTGGGCTTCAGTTTCTACATTCCTGGGAGGTAGAGGGGTTGCCAAGTCTCTGCAGCCTTACAGTTCCCCAATTAATACGATCAGAGGGGACAGGGGACAGGGGACAGGGGAGAGGAAGAGGAGAGGGGAGGAGAGGGAAGGAGAGAGGAGAGAGGACAAGGGAGAGGAAGGAAAGGGGAAGAGGGGAGAGGAAGGGAAAGGGGAGAGGGGAGAGGGGAGAGGGGAGAGGGGAAAGGGGAAAGGGGAAGCGAGAGAGAAAGAGGGGGGGGGAGAGGAAGAGGAAAAGAGAAAAGAAACACAAGAGAAAGCTGCGCATGCGCTCTCGTGAAGACCTAAATCCCGCCTCTTCCTCTTCTCCGCCGACCTTTAGCCCCGCCCTCTGTGGGAGAGGCTGGACTTCCTGCCTCCTCTGGGGCGACTGCGGAAGCGGCCTGTGGGTCGGCGTTTGCCGGGGCTGGGAGAGGTGGTGGTGTTCACGCTCACAGCTGCTTCGGTCTGGAAAGATGCCGGGTCTGGCGGCCGCGAGCCCTGCCCCGTCTGCGACGCAGGAGAAGAAGCCGCTGAAACCGTGCTGCGCCTGTCCGGAGACCAAGAAGGCGCGCGATGCGTGGTCAGTGCGGCGCCGGGGAGGGCGCCCGGCCTAGGCCGCCTCTGCCCTCTGCCCTCTGCCCTCTGCCTTTCGCCCCCTGCCCTCTGCCCTCCGGGGCTGTGAGGCTCCCCACAGTTAGAGGGCCCCGTGGGTTTTCAAGTTAGCCGATTTGTCTGTCAGTCCACGGTCTGACCCGACGCCCAGTTGAGCCGGGGGGAAAGACAGAGGGACCCGAGAGAGAATCAGGTCGGCCCTGGGTACCTCCCACGAGTAGCTCGCCGGCATCGCACGTGCTAAGCACTATGCACATGAAGTCCGAGGACGCGATCGCGTGTGAAAGCGTTACCTGAGCTGAAGGAGCTTAGAAAGGCACACCTGTGATTGCTATACCACGAGCTAAGGGCTAGATATGACAAGACCAGAGTAAAAACTGGGCGTTCCCAATGGCTCCCTCCCCCACATACCTACAGATCATACACTCCTGAAATAGTCTCCCTGCACCCTGTGTGCGTGTGTGTGCGTGTGCGTGTGTGTGTGTGTGTGTGTGTGTTCCGGGCCGGGACCTGGGTGCTCTCCCTGAGCTTCCTCCCTCCCCCCACTTCCCCCAAGGCTCACTCTCTATAGCTTGAGTCACAGCTCCACTTCTGGCTTTTTGGTGGTTATTTGGAGATGAGTCTCACAGGCTTGCCCACCTGTGCTGGCTTTGAACCACATCTCAGACTCATTTGTAGCTAGGATTACAAAGGTGAGCCACGGATGCCCGGCTTCTCCTTCAACTCTTTTAAGGCAACCAAAAGATAAAAATCAATTCACCATTGGTCAGAGATGGAAGGGGGAAACCGGGAGAAAGCAAAGGAAGAAGTGGCATTGTCCAAAAAAGAAATGAACTCATTACCCGATGTATGAAATGGTAACCCCTCTATACAACACCTCAACGATAACAATAAAATTGTATTTTAAAAGATCATTTTACCAGTCTACAATGTAGGTGATAGGAACATTTTTCTAGGTTTTGTTTGTTCTTGCTTAGAGTCTCAGTTACAGAACAGATCTCATCGGAAAGATACCTCAGATAATGTCCCTTGTCCTCATAATAGGAAAATAGAAAAATAGGGGGAAGGCAACAAACTCATAATTGGTATAATTATGAGAAGTAATAAAATTTTAGGAGCCAGTGCTTTTTGATAAAAAAAATTCACAGCACTTGCCAAATAATACTTAGATGGAGAATTCAGACTTCATGCAGTCTGATACTGAAATTGCTGCAGTGGTACCAGTAAGTGCTTATTGAATCTTTGGGCCAAATGGCATTGTAATTAAGAGCCTGGGATTCAGAGTCAGGCTTTGACTCCTGATCTGCCAGCTTGGTGTCCTTGTGCAAATTATTTAATAATGTCTGACTCATGTCTGTAAAATACCCTGTTAATGTATCTGCCTCCAGGCTTACTGTATAGGTTTGCTGATACAAACCACATCAAGGGCCAACCAATCTAGGTATAGGTAGCCTTCATAAAGGAACAATGAATGCTGTTATTTTTGTAAGGAGCTCACTATCCCCAGAAGCCTCTCCCCAGCAGGCAACCCTTGATCTACTGGAGGTTGGGAAAGACTTTAATGAAAGGAGAAACTATCTCCTTCCTTAGATTCTTTTTACATGGATTGCCTCAAACTTCTTAGCCTGTCAAGAGGAGTCCGTATTTGTAATTGAACTTGACCTCACTTGATTGTCTGCTAAAATTAAATTTACAGGCCCTAGAAATAAAGCTGTGTGGGCCTAGATTAGTTTTTGTTGATGCTTTGTTTTGTACCCCCTTCCACCAGACAGGGTCTCACAAGGTACTCCAGACTAGCTTGGAATTTGTTATCTTCTTTTCCTATCCTCCTGAGTGCTGGGATTACCACCACACCCAGCCCCCTACCAGTGATTATTTTTAATCATCAAAAGTGGATTTAAACTTACATCTTGGTCACCTGATGGTTAGAACTACATTTATTTAGGCAAGTTGGAATGTAGGACAGAAACCTAAAGTTAAAACTACATTTATTTAGGCAAGTTGGAATGTAGGACAGAAATCTGAAGTTAATTCATCTGTGATAAAAGAAAAAGTTAACCTCTTCTCTGCCTTTCATTTAACAAAAGATTCTAGTTGATTTATGTCATTATGGAGTAGTGTTCCTTAAATAGGATCTAAAGGTAATATTTGATATGCAGAATCATTTCTTCTGATGAGATTACTCACTTTCCCCAAAACTAGTTCTGCAGGTGCTGGGAAAGTGGCTCAGTGGTAGAGTACTTGCCTTGCATGCATGAGGCCCTGGGTTCAATTCCTCAGAAAAAGCCAGAAGTAGCACTGTGGCTCAAGTGGTAGAGCGCTAGCCTTGAGCTGAAGAGCTGAGGGACAGTGACAGTGCCCAGGCCCAGAGTTCAGGCCCCATGACTAATTTAAAAAACAAAAACAAGCTAGTTCTGCAGAACATCTTTTCAGGCATGACACTACCACAGAAGCATGTAAAAGCAAAATTATTTGGTATAACAGCATTCTTTTAAACACCAGCCGCCCTTAACCATGTTCTGCTTCAATCTGTCATGATATTTATTAATGCCTTCTTAGGGCTGGGAAGGTGGCTCAGTGGTAGAGCGCTTACCTTGCATGCATGAGGCCCTGGGTTCAATTCCTCAGCACCACATAAGCAAAAAGAAAAAAGCCGGAAGTGGCGCTGTGGCTCAAGTGGTAGAGTGCTAGCCTTGAGCTGAAGAGCTGAGGGACAGCGCCCAGGCCCAGAGTTCAGGCCCCACAACCGGACCCCCCCCAAAAAAAATAATAATGCCTTTTTAAATAACAAGATCACTTTGCTTTATAGCATCATTGAGAAAGGAGAAGAACACTGTGGACATCTAATTGAGGCCCACAAGGAGTGCATGAGAGCTCTGGGGTTTAAGATATAAAATGGTGAGTGAGCATATTGCTTTAAATTTTTCAATATCATTTTACAGATTTAGCAACCTTTGGACAATAGGCTAGTTAAAAGATACTTCAGCTGGCTAATCTAGTGTGTCCATATTGGTTAAAATAATAATAATAACTTCAGGTTCCAGTGTGGGGTAAAAATGACAGTAATAAGTTGCAAGCATTCATTCAGTGAGCTTATATAACATATCATTCAGTGAGTATATAACTTTCAAGGGTTTAACAAAAGCCTTTAGAGTTAGGTTATAGTCAGAGGAGCCATAGGAAGTTCAAAATACTCCCTTTTTTTAGTTATGGAACTAGACAGAATGCTCGTTATTTCTTCTAATATGGGTTTTAGTAAATAGAAATATTATTTTCTGCAAACAAAAATGGAATTGTTGTGATTTCTCTTTCATCCTTTAATAAAACTGAAACAGACTATTTTAAAAGAATTTTGAATACAAAATTTAGTGATAAAAGAGACTTTCAGTGACTGCATTTTTAGTTAAATCTTAATAGCTAGGTGTGGCTAGTCATCACTTTGTTCTTAATTCTATTACTTGTAGAATGTGTGTGTGTAAGAGAGAGAGTGAGAAAGAGAAAGAGAAAGTTTTGGTCATTGTTTCATACCAACCAGAATGTAAAGTATAAGAAAGAGTTTACAGGGCTGGGAAGGTGGCTCAGTGGTAGAGCGGTTGCCTTGCATGCCTGAGGCCCTGGGTTCAATTCCTCAGCACCACATAAGCAAAAAGAAAAAAGCCGGAAGTGGTTCTGTGGCTCAAGTGGTAGAGCGCTAAGCCTTGAGCTGAAGAGCTGAGGGACAGCGCCCAGGCCCAGAGTTCAGGCCCCATGACCGGACCCCCAAAAAAAAAAACCAAAGAGTTTACAGCCATGTGCCGGTGGCTCACGCCTGTAATCCTAGCTACTCAAGAGGCTGAGGTCTGAGGATCTCGGTTCAAAGCCAGCCCGGGCAGAAAAGTCCATGAAACTTTTGTCTCCAATAAACCACCAGAAAACCACAAGTGGCGCAGTAACTCAAGTGGTAAAGCGCTAGCCTTGAACTGAAGAGCTGAGGGACAGCGCTCAGGCCCAGAGTTCAAGCCCCACAATCAACAACAAAAAAAAGAAAGAGTTTACATTCCCATTCCACTCACTATCATATCCTGACACTTGTAAAACTACCTACATAGTAGGTACTCAATCAAGAATTATTAATTAAATGAATGAGGAAATGAAGGCTTGTAGTAATGAAAGGACTCCTGAGGTGGGTTAAATAGGATCAGAACTAGAACCTGTCTCTGGGCAGACTCACTCTGCTTTGTGCCTGGTCCTAAGATCCACCCCCACTGCTGCTTATAACTAGTGATAGCTGAGAGATAATACCAAAGCCACATTCTGATTTCTTAGTGATATAGCCTGGTTTCTTTCCTTCTCACCTCTTTGCTGTCTCGCTGGAATTTCATGTACAGCCAGGCTTTCTCTAAAGTATAAACAAGGGAGGATAAGCGTATCTGTGCACTAGAATATAAATAGCACAGTTGCTTGACTAGACCATGGGTTGATTTTCTCACATAATAAAATCCAAAGAGTAATTTGGTTCTTCATGTCTTTTTGTTATTTTTTTTTAATTTTTAATTTTTATTTTTTGTCAGCCATAGGGCTTGAACTCTGGGCATGGGCACTGTCCCTGAGCTCTTCAGCTCAATGCAAGCACTTTACCACTTGAGCCACAGTACCACTACCAGTTTTCTGGTAGTTAGTTGGAGATAAGAGTCTCCCAGACATTCCTGCCTGGACTGGCTTTGAACCACAATCCTCAGATCTCAGCCTCCTAAGTCACTAGGATTACAGGTGTGAGCCACCTGCACCCAGCTTCTTCATGACTTAATATAATCCACCTAAGGGGGAAAATCTACTTTCTATATGTAATAAGTAAAATCATAGACTTGAAATAATAAGCCATTAATAACTAAAAGAAAAAGAGTAGAGTGAAGGAGGAAGGCTGTGTCCCCTCACTGATAACAACTGTGCCTAGTGGAAAACTGTCTGGGCTGCAAGTCCTGGGGCTTCATTTGGTCCTCCTGTCTACCAGCAGGTTTTTACTCCAGTGGTGTTTAACTTACATCAAGACATGATGGTTGCACTTTTTTTCAGTTAGAAGCAGAGAGCTTTAGTATATTTTGTGATTCAATATATAATATGGTAAATCTTTTAGTATATATAAATGTATACTTACGTGGCAGTTAATGGTTACTTAAGTCCTATGTTGGATTATTTTGTAAAATAGTAAAAAATGCTAATTTCCTAAAAGGCAAGAGATTTATATGATCTGAAGAGAAACTAGAGTATATAAAAGAAATGTTAATTTAGTTTTTTTTTTCTTTTTCTTGGTCCGGTCATGGGGCCTGAACTCTGGGCCTGGATGCTGTCCCTCAGCTCTTCAGCTCAAGGCTAGTGCTCTACCACTTGAGCCACAGTGCCACTTCTGGTTTTTTTCTTTTTTGCTTATGTGGTGCTGAGGAATCAAACCCACGGCCTCATGCATGCAAAGCAAGCGCTCTACCACTGAGCCACCTTTCCAGCCCAGAAATGCTAATTTAGGAACAACAAAAACTTCTCTTGCACTTCATGTGAGCCATGCATATGATAGAATGGTTGATATAGGTATCATACATTCAGAAGGACCAGAAGATAGCATGGTTTTCATTGTGTTTTCAAGGCAAAGAGTAAGAGGGGTAGGTTTATATTTCATTTATATATAAAACAAAATGTAGCCAGGCACCAGTGGCTCACACCTGTAATCCTAGCTACTCAGGAGGCTGAGATCTGAGGGTCATGGTTCAAAGCCAGCCTAGACAGGAAAAGCTGTGAAACTCTTATCTCCAATAAACCACCAGAAAACTGGAAGTGGCAGTGTGGCTCAAGTGGTAAAGTACTTGCTTTGAGCTGAAGAACTGAGGGACAGCACTCATGCCGAGTTCAAGCCCCATGACCGAATGACCGACCAAAATAAATAAATAAAAGCTTTAAATTTAGAAAATTGATCATAAATTGACTGTAGTGTTGGATACCTCTTTAATTTTTGAACCTGTCTATCAAATAGAGATGTTAAATTCCCAAACTATTTCAGAGAACTGCTGTAGAGATTAAATGGTGTGTATATATGTGTGTGTGCACGCACATACACGCATGTATATTAATTATAAAATAGAAACTAGAGTCTAATAACCTGTACATGGCAAGTTGTGGCTAGCAGACATTTAGTTGAGGTTTGTTAAATGAATGTCCTGATTATATAGTCTTAGATCTCAGTACTGGAGCAGTACTATGAATCTAATGGGATCTGTTTAAAATAAAATTAACTATACTGCTGTCAGGCTATTAAACCATAGTTTTCTGAGAATAGCTGCAGGGGAATGCTGTTTTGCAAATATAGTTTCCCAGCAATGACCATGGAAATTTCTTAATTCAAAAACCTGTGTAGGTTTTAATGTTAATCCTAAGTAAAATAAAATCATTTTTGTAACTTGAATGCAGAAGATAGAATAATAAGTCTATTGTTCCTCTTTTATATATTTTTTTATATATAAAAGTAGGCGAATTTAGCCAGTGGGTCTTACCAGAACTGTGGCCTGCTATTAACTCAGAAACCCTTAGATAATTTTTAAGTACATCTCTTTTTAACAATTCATGACCAGAACTAAAGAAATAATAGGGAATGTGCTAAATATAAATTATGTATTTAACTACAAAGGTGGAGACTTGAAAACTACTTAGAAAAAAATGAGTGTGATGGTAGTGATTCTACACATTTTTTTTCCTATCTTCTGACTGATTTTCTTTTTCTTTCTTTTTTGGTCGGTCATGGGGCCTGAACTCTGGGTCTGGGTGCTGTCCCTCAGCTCTTCAGCTCAAGGCTAGCGCTCTCACTTATGCCACAGCCTCATTTTTGATTTTTATTCCTGCCCAAACCTTTTTTTTCTCAATCCTGGAGCTTGAACTCTGGGCCTGGCCACTGTCCCTGAGCTTCCTTTACTCAAAGCTAACACTCTACCACTTGAGCAAGAGTGAAACTTCGGCTTTTTCTGTGTATTTGGTACTGAGGAATCGAACCTAGGGCTTCATGCATATGAGGCATTGACTCTACCACTAAGCCACATTTCCAGCCTTAAACCTTTCCTTAAGTGTATGATTTTGAGTTTTCTAGAGCTGGGAGTTGAATCTTAAATGAGTCTTCCTATTAAGTCAGATAAAGGGAACACTAGATGATGGTTCATTAGTCTTGAATTTCCTGACCTGACGGTTATCCATCTTAGGATTGGGAGTGGAAGAGAGCTATTTGGAGAGAAGCCTGGCACTGCCAGACTACACCAGAACCCTATGTTCAGTTACTCTCCCTTTCTGATCTTTCCAAATGAATTTTTAATGGGTTGTCCTTATTTTGCCCTTGAGACTGAGGGTAGTAACTTTGTACAGGAAGTGTTTTGTGTACTAAATTGACCTTCTGTCTTCTACTTCCCGGATCTTTGCCAAATGTTTTTGATCAGCAAAGACAGGGATTTGCAAATCTGTTCTGTTGAATGTTATAAAAATGTCTTAGCATTTTTTGGGAGATATCTTTGGGGGAAAAAAAATAATCTTTTACCTCAACTAAAGATTCTAAAGATAAAATGATGTAATGATAGTATCAGGAAGTTTTTAATTAGGGTAAACTAGAATTTTAAAATGTAAATCTATCATTACTGATGTAGAGTAATTATAACAATTAGTTAATAATAACTTGACTTAAGCATTTGTTTCTAGTGGTCTTAAGTCTCTACCTCTACAGATCAAATCTGATGTTTGACATCTGACTTTCTAAAATAAATCTTTTCTGTAGGTGGCCTGCTCTGTGAATGAATAACCCCAGAAGAATGAAGATTAAATCATTTTGGGAGCTGTTCTGTGAACTTTGATAAATGAATAGAGTATTTATAATTTATTAAAGAAAATGTCCATGGTGAGAGATCTTCAGGCGTATTTCTATTTGTATTCCTCCCATAGCCTATGTATCCCCTAAAGATTGTATTACTCTTTAAAGAGTGTAATCACAAATCTTGTGACTAGAGTTTCTTTTGTTTGTTACGGTGTTATTCTAGTAACAATGGATATTCATTGTTAGCAGAAAACAGATATTTTCTCAACCAGGAAAATCTCCACAACTAGGTACATGGAATCTGAGTGAATACCCTTTACCAATTCAGAATGAGTATGGCAGTGATATCCTTTCATTTATGAGTCATATTTTGCCAGGCTTGAAGGGGTACCCCTGTAATCCTAGCACTCAGAAAGCTAGAAACAAGAGGATTCCAAGTTCAAGGTTCGCCTGTGGCACTTATTGAGACCCTGTCACCAAAAGAAACCCTGAACATCAGGGTTCAGGAAAAAGATACCACATATTTTGTTCTTAGATTTTTTAATTTTAATTTAATCTGATGTTGTACTTGGGATTAACCCAATGGCCTTACCCATGTGAGGCACATCCCACCCCTTTATTTTTAGCTTTATTAAAGGCAAGAACTGGACAAAACTTTGGTCTTATTATCTAAACCAGTGTTGTTCTTTGCTAGTTCCCTCATTTGGAGAAGTTCCTTAGACTTTGTACCAAACTAGGATGATTTGGCTTGAAAGATCTCAACTAGGGTCATTAATATAATGTGAATAGTTACATTGTAGAATGGACTAAGATCAGAAGTTCATTGTCTAGAGATAAGATAGTTATTATTAAGAGGCTGGCTTTGAACTATAGCAAACAGGTTCAACAGCTGGCTATGTGATGTCAGGTGAGCCACAGTATCTTTGAATCTGCTTTTTTTCATCTGAAAAGAAATAATGAATACCTAACTTAAAAGATCATGAGAGCCCAGCACCTGTGGCACATGCCTGTCATCTTAGCTATTTAGCAAAATGCTGATATTAGAAGGATCACAGTCAAAGCCCAAGTAGGCAGAATAGTTTGAGAGACTCTTTCTCAACAAAGACTTGGATACAATGGCATGCTCCTGTTATTCTAGCTGCACAGAAAGTTATGAATGCCTGGGCAGAAAGTGAAACTCTTTCCACAATAACCAACAAAAATCAGGACTGGAGTTGTGGCTCAGATGTAAGAATGTCTGCCAAGAGCTGGGCACCGGTGGCTCATACCTGTAATCCTAGCTACTCAGGAGGCTGAGATCTGAGGATTGCAGTTCAAAGCCAGTCCGGGCAGGAAAGTCTGTGAAACTCTTATCTCCAATAAACCACCAGAAAACCGGAAGTAGCTCAAGTGGTAGAGCGCTAGCCTTGAGCTGAAGAGCTGAGGGTCAGTGCTCAGGCCCAGAGTTCAAGCCCCATGACCGACAAAAAAAAAAAATCTGCCCAGCAAGCACAGGCCCCAAGGTCAAACCCCAGTAACACCATCAAAATAAAGCAGTGTAAGTACTAATTAAAATAGTATATAGCTGGGTGCCTATAACTCATAACTGTAATCCTAGCTACTCAGGAGGCTGAGATCTGAGAATCATGGTTCAAAGCCAAGTCCAGGTAGTACAGTTCATGAGACTTTTATTTCCAGTAAACCACTCAGAAAAAACTGGAAGTGGTGCTGTGGCTCAAGTGGTAGAACGCTAACCTTGAGCACAAAGAGACTCAGAGACAGTGCCCAGTCCCTGAGTTCAAGCCCCAGCACCAGGAAAAAAAAAACTGTATAGAAAGTATTTGGTACAGTAGTAGCATTTACTGTTTCAAGGTCCTATAATTTGATTCTTGTCATGTTTTTACTTGACTGTTCATTTGTATTTAGTACTTTTTAGTGAGCACAACATAATTTATAGGGAATTTTTCTTTAAAAAGAATCTTGGACTCTCCAGTATAAACCAACTTCCTACCTGGTATAGATTCTTGATAGATAGTCAATTTGTCCTGGAACCATAAAAAGAAACAAAGATCCATAATCTCTTAATTCATACATGCTATTCTGGGCTTTTCCTCTGCATTTTTATTTTTACTTATTTTTTTGGTGGAGGGAAAGACAGTCGTAGTACAGTCTTACTACTGTGGCCAAGGCTGGCTGGAGCTCCTGCCTCAGACTCCTGAATGAGAGGATTCCATGCATGTGCCATCATGCCTAGCTACTATATATTTTTAAAACTGAAATGGAACAGTTTTCTATATTTTCTAAATAGAATCTATTTTTAATGAAATTGGGACATTGTCTTTTCCCCTCAACATGTTTTACCATAGGTGAGAACAGCTCTACAAAGGTGTATGTATCAGCAATATATGAATCCCCTCTAGCTTACCATCCTGGAGCCAGATGTTTTCTAGGATGCCTGCTATGTGTCAGCTGCCCTTCTAGAATTCAGTCTGGAAGATAATACATATCAAATACATAAAATTCTGATTATATATACATATATATATATGATTGTGTTTTGCTAGTTGGTTTTATAAATATAAAGAAATCACCCTTAAAGCCCACCAGTCTATTAAAGGATTATACTTTTTGTTGTCTTTCCAGTCCTGGCGCAGTGGTTAGACTTTGTCCCTAGCTTCTCTGCTCGAAGCTAGTTGTACCAGTTAGAGTCACAACATCATTTCTAGCTTCTTGGTAGTTAATTGAAGATAAGAGTCTCATAGACTTCCCCGCCCAGGCTGGCTTCAAACTGTGATCCTCAGATCTCAGCCTCCTGAGTAGCTAGGATTATAGACACCAATGCCTAGCCAAAAGGACTACTTTTTTAGTGACCTTTTTATACATTTTCCCTGCATGTGTGGACACACTTTGTTTTTGTTTGTTTTGGGGTTTTTTTTTTTTGCTATTCTGGAATCCTTCTACAGTGAAATACCATAGGAAAGCCTTGTAGGTGTCCTTTCCTAATCGCTAAGCTCAGGGTGAACCAGAGGCTGCAGGTTTTCACGGCTTTTGATGAGAACTGCCTGAGTGATGAATAGGAAGATAACCATCCACACTTTAGTATCTAGGAGTTCCTGTTTCCATCAGTTCCTGCCAATATCTTGTTTTTTTAAACTTTTGCCAGTTAGTCTGCTTGGATTGCAAAGGAACTAAAGCACCCTCCTTGACCTTTTTCATAGTTGGAAATAATCTTACAAGCCTTCCCAAAGATAATGTGCAGTGTTCTAGTAATAATGTTAAATGATTTGAAAAATGAACTATGAGATGACAACCACATGCTGCTACATCACTGTTAATATTCAATCATTCCTGATCTGAGTAAGTTACATTTACAGTCCATTTCAAGTAGTTCCCTTTGTGTCACCTTGAAATGTTTAGAAAGTTAATGGAAACAGGGCCATATCCTTAGGCAAAGGCCTAGGGTTACCATTTATTAGGGTTACCATTTTCTAGGATGAGGCTTGTAAATGGAATCCCCATTTACAAGAAAAAGTGTTCAAGTCTTGGGCAAAAGGGAATCATCCTGGCCAAGTGGCTACTGACCTGGGATGTAAGTCTAGATCATTAGAATTTTTTTAATAACCATACTAGATGTCTAACATAAAAAAATCGCATATTTATATGTTCATTTAGTATGTATTAGTGAAGACTGAGTGCATGCAAGAACAGTCCTAGGTGTTGAGTATTCATGGGTGAATCAGACATACATGCTGTCCCAAGGAGATGAGAAGCTGGTTCTTTTACTGAGTCGCACCACCAACTGTGTGCTACAGAGTGGATAAACATGAGCTCTGTGTTCAAAGAGCTTATAGACTGGTGAGTATATGAATATGATCCATTAAAAATAACATTGAATATTTGATGCTATGATGGTTATCCAAGATACTTCTCTCAAGTGTTCACATTTGACTACCTAGGGTTTCTTTCTTCTCTTTTCTTTCTTTCTTTTTCTTTCCTTCTTTCTTTCTTTCTTTCTTTCTTTCTTTCTTTCTTTCTTTCTTTCTTTCTTTCTTTCTTTCTTTCTGTCTGTCTGTCTCTTTCCTTTCTTTCTTCCTTTCTTCCTTCCTTCCTTCCTTTCTTCCTTCCTTCCTTCCTTTCTTTCTTTCTTTCTTTCTTTCTTTCTTTCTTTCTTTCTTTCTTTCTTTCTTTCTTCCTTCCTTCCTTCCTTCCTTTCTTTCTTTCTTTCTTTCTTTCTATCTTTTCTTTCTTGTCCCTGAGCTCTTAAGCTCAATGCTAGTGCTCTACCACTTTGAACCTGTTTTCTGCTGGTTAGAGATAAGTGGCTCACGGACTTTCCTGCCGAAGCTGTTTTTGAATGAACAATCCTCAGATCTCAGCCTCCTAAGTAGCTAGGATTACAGGTATGAGCCACTGATGCCCAGCTGCCTAGGGTTTCTTTAGCTGTAAAACTATCTCTCTCTCTCTCTCTCTCTCTCTCTATATATATATATATACACACACACACATACATATATATAATGTTATATGTAATATATAATATAAATATATTTTCATCTCAGAGCTTGCTCTTCCAAGACTGATGAAGCCAAGTTGTGCTTTCTTGTTCAAGACCAGCAGAAGAGGAAAAGCATTCTCCAGGACTCTTGAGACGCTCTTAAATCTGGTTGAGCTATACCTTTATGAAACAATAAAATATTTGTTAGTAGAATGACTAATGCTACTTGATGTAAACAATTCATCCCTTAGCTCTTATTAGATACATGGGAAACACAAAATCTGTTGCAAAGGGGGAAGAGGTAAATAGATACTGAGTAGGCAACCATTGTCTGCAAAACTATCTTGTTCATATAACTGCCAGGTCATCTTGAATAATAAAATTCAGTTCCCCTCATAGTTATCTCAAACTTTAAAGAAAAAATTTTAGAGCTTGAGTTGCCTGATATTTAGGTAGGTGTGTGTGTGTGTGTGTGTGTGTGAGAGAGAGAGAGAGAGAGAGAGAGAATCCTAAGGCTTGGAGAGAGAGAGAGAAAGAGAAAGAGAGAATCCTAACGCTTGAACTTGGCCTGGGTGCTGTCCCTGAGCTTTTTTGCTTAGGGCTGTGCTGTACCTCTTGAGCAACAGCTTCTCTTCCACCTTTTTGGTGGTCAGCTGGAGATAAAAGAGTCTCATGGACCTATCTAGGCGGGCTTCAAACCTTGATCCTTAGATCTCAGTCTCCTGAGTGGCTATAGTTCAGTTTTTGCAAAATAAGACAATTAGCAAATGTTCAAAGGACTGTTCCATGAAGAATAATCCATACAGAGACCTGAATCGATGCATTTGGTTCCAAGAACACACAACTACCTGGACATAAGCAATACAGAAGTATAACTTACTCCCCTCTCAGGAAGTGTGTAGATTGAGAGTTCCAGGTTTATGATGATGACTCAATGATACATTCTATTTATGTGCTCTTTGTCCTCATCCTTGGGCAATGTCTCATGGCCATAGCAACTGCACAACTATTGCATCATCATACAGCTGAACTCGGACTAGGCCTCCATAATGTCTAGAGTGGGCTTTACTGCCACAAGCTCTTCCAATTCTTGCCTCTTGTGCTTCATTGGTCACATGCACATTCTTAATTCATCAAACCAATGAGATGCTGGGCTTGTCTTTTGCACATCTTTGTTCAAGACCTGGCAACAGGTGATTCTTCATCTCCAAAATCACTTGTAAAAAGCAAAGATGAAGACATGGCTCAAGTGATAGCGCCCCAGCTGAGCAAGCAAGCAACTCAAGGCTTTTGAGTTCAAACCTCAGAATCAAACCGTTACAAATCTAGCCTGAATTTCTGACCATGCCTGGGAGATACTGCTTAGCTGTCTGGCTTTATAACCTCTGTCTCATCGCCTACAGCTGCTGCTGCTACTGCACCTGTGACAAGCCATTCTCTGTTACTGGAATATACCACATATTTTTGTTTTACATTTTGTTCCCCCGTCCTGTGATACTCTCCCCCTAGCTGGGGAACACCTAATCCTCATTTCAGACCAGCTTAAATGTCACCTTCCCTGCAATACTCTCCCTCATTTCTTGGTGCCACCATCATGTTGTTTTTTTCTTTTGAACACATTTTATGGGACTGCAGTTCTTCTGGGTCATTCTCCCCTTGCAGACAAAAAGAAAAAATCTCTAAACACGCTAATTATCTAAGGTTCATCTTTACATCTTTTGTCATCAGCACAGTTTATCTTGAAATAAATACTTCCTGAATTGAATCAACTCAATAAATTACCCAATTTCTGGAGGTTTCCTCCCCTAAATATTTTCCAATACTCTATTTTCATGTTTATAAATAAGAACATACTATATTGATGCAATAAAATTTTCACTTCTGTCAAATCTGGTTTTAAAGGCAATGTTTCATTGTATTCTAATCACACATCCTGTCTGATGGGCATGGATATCATATTTATTCTTAATAAATGATTCTTGGACTCATGTCCAAACAGCATATGAAAATCTTGTGTAGTGATAAATGTATATAGCTACATATAAGCTCCCGAAAGCCTTAGTAGGATATTACTCTAACACAGGGAGTATATGACTTAGCTTTAATCCCTCTTTGTGCACTAGCTCTGTGATCCTAAGCAAACACCTTTTCTTCTAGGCCGGCACTATACCACTTGAACCACATCTCTAGCTTCCTTATCTTCTCTAAACTTGGTGGTTCTATTTAAAAAACAAGCAAGAAAAGATAAAGGAGAGAAGGGAAAGAAGAATAAAAGAAAGAAGGGATGCATGTCTATAATCTCAGTGTTTGGGAGGTTAGAGGCAAGAGGGTCAGAATTTCAAGGCAAATGTGGGTCAGATAGATACTGTCTCAAAAAAAAATAAGATAAAATAAGTATCTTGGGAAGGCATGCAGAAACCAAAGCAGCTTCATAAACATGAGCACCCTCTGCTCACATAATCACATGTAGATTGACAGGGAAGCTCCCTGAGTTCAGTATGGGCAGGCGGGTAAGCAAGCAGTAGGAGGGGTCTGCCTGTCTCTTTAAAGGTCAAGGCCAACTCATTGGGCAGGCTTGCTGAGAAAGATGACCTGCTTTGAAATTCAATCTTGGGCAGAGCCTTGGTTACTTCTCTGCACCTGCCTTTCCTGCTCACAGCTGGCAGGGATGCCAACTCTGAGAGCTGGGGGCATGACTAAGGTGGATGGATGAGCAGCTGCTGCTTATTCAAACATGCAGGTTGGTTGGGAGGCAGACAGGGAACAAAATCAGCACATGGGAATCCCCACACTCCACTGCTCTGATGACATCGTGGTCCATCCATTGTCATGAGGGAGGCTTGGGGTATTTCTTCTCCAATCAGTCCTTCCCTTTTCCTTTACCACTAAGTGTGTGTGTGTGTGTGTGTGTGTGTGTGTGTGTGTGTGCCCATGCACGCACTTGTGTGATTATTGTGACTTGAACTCTGAACTCAAGATCTCACTTGACTTTTTTGGGGGGGAAGGTCTGGTCGTGGGGCCTGAACTCTGGGCCTGGGCGCTGTCCCTCAGCTCTTCAGCTGAAGGCTAGCACTCTACCCCCTTGAGCCACAGCGCCACTTCCAGCTTTTTCTGCTTATGTGGTGCTGAGGAGTCGAACCCAGGGCCTCATGCATGCAAGGCAAGCACGCTACCACTGAGCCACCTTCCCAGCAGTCTCTTGACTTTTTCTTGCTCAAGGTCAGCACTTTATCACTTGAGCAGCACCCCCACTTCCTACTTTAACTGGTTAATAAAATTCTCTTAAACTTTTCTTCAGGCTTTCTGTTTTTTGTTTTTTTTTTTTTGGGTCCAGTCATGGGGCCTGAACTCTGGGCCTGGGCACTGTCCCTCAGCTCTTCAGCTCAAGGCTAGCGCTCTACCACTTGAGCCACAGCGCCACTTCCGGCTTTTTTTTTAATGTGGTGCTGAGGAATCGAACCCAGGGCCTCAGGCATGCAAGGCAAGCGCTTTAACCACTGAGCCACCTTCTCAGCCCTTCAGGCTTTCTTTCCCAGGCTGGCTTTGAACCTTGATCCTCAGATCTCAGCCTCCTGAGGACCTAGGATGACAGGAGTGAGTCACCAGCACAGCTTGTCATTGTTTGCTTTGAGGCTTCTTTCCCCTAATACTTGTTTCATAGCAAACATTCAGTAAATATGTGTTGCACTGAAGATTCACTCAGCACACTTGACAATACCTGTTTGTTTTTAAACTGGTTGCATTTTAATAGTAAAGACCTGTGTATTGAGCATTTGGATGGTTCTGGAAGGTGATTGAGTTCACCACCTGTACTTTAGGGGCAATAAAACTTCTGGCTTCTCCTAACCCAGCAGCCAGGAGGGAGAATCAAGAAGGCAGAGTCACATTTCTTACCTTAACGTTTTCAGAGTCCAGATTTATTTCCTGGCAGTCCAAAGTATATCCCCAGAACTGCATCCAGAAGTTCCTTGGAAGTCATCTGACTTCAAAGGAATGTGAGGTTGGGGATCATGTATTTCTACTTACCATATAAACGACTTAGCCCAGAGTCTTAAGTCTGGTTGTCTCAGGTTCAAATCCAGCCTTTGCCACTTTCTCCTTGTGGAAACATCCTCACTCTGTGCCTCAGTTTCACTCAGCTTTAGAAGGAAGGGTATTCTGAAGACTAAATAATAAGTATATAAAATTCCTAATATAGATCTGTCACTTAAAGGGTGTTTATGAGATAGTATTTATAATTTGGAAATATTAGGGTGGGTGGTAGGGATGATATGAATTACCATTTCTTAGCTATTACTAGATCCAAACACAGGGAGAGTTTGCTTGGAATTCAAAAGGCTGCATTTACCAAGCTATTTCTGTTGAATGCACATCAAATAAACATATAATGATTGTTCGCAATGTCTTAATGAAATCTTTCAAGAGATCATCCAGTTTTCACTGCTGACCCTGTATCTGCTACGAGTCCTATGCTTTGCTCTTTTGACATGCCCTGCTCTCTCTGGGGAGCCCTCTGCCCCTCCCTCTAGAGAGTTCTCTCTCTGCACCTTGTCCAGCCTGCAGTGTGAAGATGAAATCTCTCTGCCGCCTTTGTTGACCTGAGGTCTTATCTTGTCCTCTGGGAGGTATGTTAAGTGCTCTGCCAGTCTGCCTGTGTGCTGGCCTGTTTTTTCTCACTGCCAGTACCTCTTGGATTCCAATTCCAAACATGGTATCCCTCCGGGGTCACCCTTTCTTCCGGTGCCAAGAGAGAACGCATTCCAAATGGCACACAAGTGTGCCTCCCATGCTGGGCGCTGTCATTCCGCTTGGGAACAGAGAGCAGGATGTGGCCGCTTTCCCCTCCACAGCTGAAGTTGTCAGTCTACCTTTGTCTGGGGACAATTTATATTCTCTGCTAGGAACCAACTATGAAGTCCATCCTAAAAAACCTGGAGTCCAGGGAGTTTTCCACCACTCGGCAGAAACAGCCACAGCCTTGCTGAGGAAGAAAAACACTTTTCTATTTCTCCACGAACTATGTCTGACGTCCATTCCCAAAGCCACCGGAAACATCCCTCCTGGCAAAGGCAGATTTGGTGGTGAGAAGCCAAAGGTGAGAAGACATCTTGGAAGGACAGCTCAATTCATTTGCACAGTTTCCTATGTGTGCAAGGTTTTGAGACACCCCAACAATGAGCGCCA